CATAGCCTCTGTTGTATTCCTTCCCTCCACTCTTTTTTCTTTGCATTGTCATATTATTGAGCTGGGCTGTGCTGGATACTACTTATTTTTGTGATTTGCCTATGCGTTATGCATTGAAGACAATGTGTTTAAGTGTGGGGGAGGGATTTCATTCTTTTAGTTTTTCCTTTTGGGTGTGTTTTTACTTTTGTTTTAGTGTCCCCTTAAAAAAAAAATGTTTTGTTTTGTTCTGGATGTGAAGATTGCAAGGTTGAAGTGATTCAAGTATGATACATTCTTGATTTGAAAAGTAATTGATCATGTCTTGAGCGGATAAACTAAGTGGCAATGGATTTGACTTAGGTGAATTTAAGCTAGTAATCATATGCCTAGTGAGGTTTTGAGCCTAATGCATTTCTTCTTGTCATGTGTGTATACCTTCTATCTGTTTTTTTGATCTAGAACTTGACTTGAATCTTGTTTAAGACTACATTTGTGCATTTGCATTCATAAAGATGATAAAGGTATTTATTTCAATTATTCTAGCCAGATAAGCCAAAAGCCTACCCTTTTCATGCATTTATCCTTTGCTTAACCCTTTTGAGCCTTCATATTTTTTTCCCTCTTAACCCAAAAAAAAAAATCCTACCCTTTTTGAATGTCTTGGGAGTTGAAGAGTGTTATATTATATATGCTTGGGATGGAGGAACATATTTAGAATTATGGTTTGGGTCAATTTGAAAAAAAAAAGAAGAAGAAGAAAAATATTGTAACAAGATTCTGCTCCTCTAGTTTAAGCTGTGCTTAGTAACCGGGGATCTTCATCACCAATGTCGATTTTCGCGTCAAACGGTCAGTAAGGGCTATGAGTGTGCTAGTAGCATCTTAGTGCCAATGAGTTATCCATGCTTGAGTAACCGGGCCTTTGTATCACCAATATGAAAGTTCGCATCAAAAGAGCATATACATAACGACCTAAGAAAGTAAAAAAAAAAAGTTCTTAGAAAAAGAAGAAGAAGAAGAAGAAGAATGACCCAATTCAAGTTTAATTTAGTTTCTTACATTCCATTTTTTTTTATTGATTCTCTTCATTTCCTAAGATGTTCACCTTGGTTTTCCCAAACACTATATCCTTTCTTTCTTTACCTTAGCCCCATTACAACCTAATAAAAGTCCTTTTAATTTATGCTTGTAATTGCTTTATGATTGGTGAAGAATTTAGATTCTTGTCAAGCCTATAGAAAGAGGAATGGATAGGATGGTTTTGAGTGTAAACACAAGCCAATACACTTTTGAGTGATGAGTGACATACACATTAACATTAGTGAGGGATTTCTGACTTAGATTTCCTTTTGTCAAGTAAATTGCCATGATGTTTGTTTTATTGATTCATGAGAAGATCATCTGGATAAGAAAGATGTTATTACTTTGACTTGCTTTTTGCTTGTGGTTGGAACATTCACCTTTTGTTTGGTTTTCTTTTGTTCTTTCACTGCTCTTTAGTCTTCATTTGCTTTACCAGGAGTGCAAAGGCTAAGTACGGGGGAATTGATGAAGCCTAAATTTTATACATTTTATCCCACATTAATTTAGGATTTAAATGATAATTTTGAGCTTAATTAGATTTTTATGCATTATTGAATTAATTGGTTGATTTTTGGATTTTACATAAAAATTGGGATTTTGAATTAAAAATATAAATATTTTGAGATTTCCTATTTTTGACTTGGAATTAATATTTTCCTCTTTCTTTGGAAACAAGTCTCATATTTTTAGAAAGATTATTTTTAGAAAGTTTTGCAATTTCTTGCCTAATTTTTGTGCATATCTGATATTTAATTTTTGATTATATTTGGATATAATCTATATTAATGGATGCACTTAAATTCTTATAGGTCAAGAAAGAGTACATAGGAAATCCAATGGTGCAAGATTGTTTCTTGGGATTTAAGCACAATCCAATTACTAATATCAAGTGAGCCAATTAATTACTAATGGGCTTGAGCTTTGGATCCATAAAAATTTCCTTTTCTCCCATCAAAATAATCCCTCCAGGCACATCTAAATATCACTCTTTCCTTCTCCATTGGAGGAAGGCACAATTCAACGCCTAATATCCCAAAATCACTGATCCCATATTCACGCCAACGGACAATTTTAACGCCAACTTTCTCCTTCCCCTCATTCACGTCACGCAACCCACCACCAATTGAATAATCAATTTCCTCTCCTTTCTCACTGCACGGCCAAACTCCCATCCACACCTTATCATTCATGGCTATGGCATCTAATAACTTTGGAGGAGGAGACATTTTGATGGCAGCTTAAGCTTGTTAGGAAGGCAACTTGGGAGGAGCATGGAAGAGACTTGAGTCTTGGGCTAGCACTTGAAGACCATAAGGAGTGATATTCCATTTATCTTTTTAATTCAAGGACTTAAGATTATTTAGTTTTAAATAATTTTAAGTTGTAATTTTGTAAGACAATTTAGTTCTAGATTGTCATTTATATTCTTGGATTGGATTGATATTTGGATTTTATTTGTGTTAAGACACTTGCTGGAATTTATGTTTGTGAACTTTTGCATTATTAATTTCATTTATAATTGAGTTTTCATTGTGGATTTAATTATCAATCTGGTTTGAATTGCAAAATTTGGGTTCTTCTGCTTCTTAATTGTTTGATTAAGTTGATTAATTATCTGATTATTTAATTGGATAATTTCAAACATAATTTTCAGAATTAACTTGAGTTATCTTCATTGGTTTTAATAAGCTTAATTAATCAACCTTATGCTGTTATGAGTTCTCTAATGGTTTAAGGGTTTTTAAAGTTGAGGGTTCCCTTAGTTTCAAGTAGGCAATTAGACTTATTAATTCCATTCTCTTATCACTTTCCTTTGGTCTAATTAACTGATTAAGATTATGAAGGTTAAATTCATGCGAATCCTAAGTTGTTCCCTCTACCTTACTTGAAGAGGAACTTCTTAATTTTTACTTGTTAATTTTCTTTGCTCTTTAGTCAATTTTCCTTATTTATTATTTTTTCCAAAAAAAATCCCCCAAAATTGCATTGCATTTATTTAGTTTAATTTAATTTTCATATAGATTTTAGGATGCTTGCATCTTGCATTTAGAATTAGAATTTTGCATTTTAGTTTAGGTCCAATTTATTGCATTTTTTTTATCACCTAAATTTTTACCTAAAGAAACCCATAACTTGCTCCTTGAAAGTAATGACCTAGGTCAATCCTAAACTACAAATCAATTAGGACCTAGTTTAATTGAGTACTTTAATGATAGAGGCATTATCAAGGACAAACACGAATCAATTGTATAAAATAACTTGGCCAAAGGAAAGAGTAAAATACGTAGAGGTCCCTTTTATTTTACATTAATTATAAAGACATTTCTATTTTCAAAATCGCCTTTATTTTAATATTTTATATTAATTATAAATATATTTTTTATTTTAATATTTTCAAAATCGTTAGAAACTTCTATTGAAATCAAAGTTACATAGTTGGCACTTGGCCAACAAAAGAAAATCAAAGTTACATGAGACACCTCCCTTTATTTTTAAATTTTCATTTTCATCCCTCTCATTATTAATTCATCATTAAAATATATTTTAGACCAAAATACCCCGAATAATAATGAATCTCATGTTAAAAAAAATTTAGGATAAATTATTCTATAATGATATTTTCTCACCCAAAAACTTCAAACCTATAGTTACTACCAGAAACCCTAAATCAAACTATATATATTAAGTGGATGACACAACAAGTTATGATTAGGGGGTCAAACAAAACAAATTTTATAGTAATCACTATAACAGAAACTTAACCTTAACACAAAAATTGTGTATAACAATTATAAATGGGAAAATCAATTAGAAGTTTCTGTTCAAGTACGCTTGTTTTGTATGAATATTGTAGGGTGATGGTACTTTTTGGACATAAAAAATATAACATGTTCTTATAGCCAATAAAATTTTAAATAGAAACTTTTTGCTAACTGCTTTTTTCATTATAAACCATTCATTCATCCCTACTCATTTCGCAGGTAGGAGGAGTAAAACATTCAAGCACATACTACTTGGATTATCGATGTGGTTAAATATAGTGACAATGATAGCAACCATTTTGAATATTTTTTCCCTGAAAGTTTTCATAGATGAGCTCTAGATATCTTGAAGCTTTTTTTGGGTGTAAATGTGCTGCAAAAGTTCAAAATCATAGCAATGTTATCCACTACCATTGGAAATGTTAAAAATCAATGTCACTGTTTTATCGGTTAAAGTTAGTTTTTTAGTAGTAAGAGATAATATTACTATGATTTTAAATTTTAAAGGTAAATTTGCACCCCAAAAAAAAGCTTTTGGGTACCCAATGCCTCTAAGTGAAAATTTTCAAAATAAATTTGCACCTTAACCAATATATGTAAAATTTAAAATGACCCATAAAATGAAATCCTAGCTTCTTTGAGAGGACATGGCTTACAAAAGTCAAGGGTGGGGGTCTGTGCATACAACAATAATAGTAGCAAGTAGCCTATAGAATCCTTCCATAATATACCAATATAACTACATATGATAACTCCTCAATTATTTTATGTGATTTAACTTCACCTATTTTGATGATCTATATAAAAACGTAGAGTTATTATTCAAGGAATTTCTTGCATCGTAAAAGTGGTGAGAATTAATTTCTTATTTTTATCATTTAATATGAGCACGAGAGGAATATAATCTTTACGCAAAGACCATCCTATCTAACTTCTACGCATTAAGATACGTGGATTATTATCATAAGAGATTCTTAACACATCATAACATTCCCTTCTTTTTTCCTTCTTAAATCCACACTATTCCAAACCCCAAAAATAGAAGGAATTTTAACTAGGATTTTTCCTTGAGACGAATACTTTTATGCATACCCCTTCTAATTGATCTATATATATATATATATATATATATATCTATTTTGTACAGCCCAAAATCATTTGTAATAAGTTAAACTAGTTGTTCTGTCTGTTCGGCTGCGAGTTCTTCCTTATGATCGTATTGCTTCTTCGTAGCTGATCTTGATTCACATGGCTTGCCGCTTCACCAGGCTGAGCATCCGAGCTGGAGGAGGATCTAATAAGAACGATGTAAAAAAGTATAAGCGTGATCAGCAGTTATAAGAAAACAGAAACAACGTCTGTAAACTGCTAATACAACCATACTAATAACAGCACTAACGCCATCTCAATATTCACCTGGACACGTTCGAACTCGCTGGTCCTTCCAACACCCCCTTTCCTTGAAACTTGGCAAGTAGAAACTTCGCTAAGCACACAAAGATAAAAAAGAACACGAAGCTTACTGATGCCAATATGAGAAAACACCGATCCAGGCGAATCCGGGAAACAAAAATTAATGCAAACAGCATGCTGAAGAACGTTCCGATCACGAACAGCATTGAAATGCACGGGTACACAAATTTTCTCATTGATTCAGGAATCAGCTGATTATGAAGGAAACTCTCTAGTCCAAATTCTGCAAATCCTTCCATTAGTCCTAGCAGCACATACTGTGGAGTTAAAAACCAGATGCTCAAGGAAATACTCCCGCATGGGTATGTTATAAACTGAATCAGACAGAGCCTACGACATTCCACTAGCCAAGCAGCAATAACGCAAAGTATTGAGCAAAACATCCCAACAGCCATACTCCGAATTGGTTCCATCAGTTTATATCTTGATTGGATCAATCTGACCACAGAAGCAACCGAAGATTGGAGTACAAAGAAAACAATAATAGGCACATCGAATTCACCCATATTTGAATCCAACAGGTCTGTTTGCATAACAAAATAAGTGTTGCCACAAGTTAAAACCAAACTGTAGCCGATGAAGGTGAACCCTAAGAGCACGATAGGAGGACAAAGGCTCTTCAGGTCCCTCACTTGCTCCTCCTTACGAGCCGGTTCAACTACTCTATCTTCGCTTTCAGCATCTGCATCGTTCTTGTTACTAGATTCCCCGTTGTTCATAGTTTGTGATTCAGGGTAATACCAAAAAATTCCCCAGAAGAATAATAGACACATAATTTCCATAACAAGAGAAGAAATTTCGAACCTTGTCGGCCAACTTCTGTTGCCTAACCAAAAGATGGCTATAGCACCACCAATGAAGGAAGCAGCAAAATGCCACAAAAATCCAGGGCCATATTTTCTTTCTTCTGTCGAGTCGTTATCTTCTTGTTTCTTCTCACTTTTAGTACGTTTTTTATTGACTTCTTCCCTTGTCAGTTGGCTATCAAGAAAATCAGACGTCGGTTCTTCCCCGGCTGTGCCTAACGCAATAAGTACTATTGCGAAAATCAACATGCCACGAAACTCTAGCAGGATCAACCCCTGCCGTTAAAAATACATTTGTTATTTGATCTTTAAGTACTCTTTCAACAAATACTTAAAACATATGTCATTTACTTTGGATCATTGTCACTCCATCTTAATTATTTATTGATCCACATGATGAGCACAAAATTTTATGAGAAAATCAAAGGTTGAGAGAGCCTTTTCGTTGCCGAACTTCTTTCAAAATGTGATGTTGAATACCAACGTTTGTTTGGTATGATATATTAGGAGTGAGGGGAACAAATTTTGTTTTTATTGGCAATCAATATAACCCTAGTTAATGTATTTGCTTCCCTTCTCCCATCTTTCCGTGGGGGCCAGACAATTTCGATTATACTCAATCAACTCGCAAAAATCAAAACTGTCTCTGGTTCAATCAACTAGCACAATTTAAAAGCAGTTGAAACAAAGCACAGATCAAACCAGAGAAACCAGTGGAGTAGAAAACAAAGCAAATAACCCAGAACATATTCGAAACCCAGATTATAAGGAGCATAATGGAATCAAAAGCCGTGTAACAGTCAAACTAGCTAGAAGCTGGAGCTAGGGGGGACCATACACGGCAACCAATCTTGGATTAAAACCCAAGGAAGGAGTGCGTGAGGAAATGGAAAGTCGTATCTCATCATGGAGGAAGGTGAAGCAGAAAGGTGACGACATATGAGAATGGGCGGTGTCCGTATCTTACCATAGCATAGGCGGCAGCGCAGAAGATAACCACAGTGAAGGGACCAGTGTATGTATCTGATACGTGCGTTATAGCAACTTTGAGCACTTCTGATATCATATCTACCAAATTCGTAAGTATAGCAGCTTCCATAGACTTTGATGATGTTCATCTTCATCAGTAAGGAACTCCATCAACACATCCACCACCGCATTTTGTATCAAAACATGGCTTGTGATCAAACCTGAATTAATACAAATATCATTGCAGGAACAGGTGTGTTAACTTTAGTCGTTGTCTGCAAGAAAATATAGCTCATATACAAGAACATGTCGGTGCAAGACATAGAAACTAATGTTACCAAAGATGAAGGGTACAGTCTTGGAGAGGACAAACCCGTCTTGAAGCCAGCCCATTAAGCGTCTCCCAGTCCTAGCCTTCTTCATTCTGGTCGACGCAGAACTAGTTGGTGTATGATCTTCTCTCTTTTTGGTAAATGACTAGGACGTAGTAGTAACGCAACAGAAGAAGGGCTTTATATATTTATACAGTAGTAAAGGCTGCAGGAGCTGGCATCTTTCAGTATAAGTGAGCACGTGGCATTAAAAAGTGTGTGTTTCCTTGAACTTTATCAGAACTTAACTACTAAATTCCATTTAAATTCCCTGTTTTATTTATTTTACGAATCTAAACAAAAGTTATACTCCACATTTCATCTCTTTGTTTTTGAATTTGTGCTTGCCATCCACTAATATGTTAATTGACAGATGACCCCCAGAGTCTGTAACGTTTTTCTCGTTAATGATGCATCTCTCTCTCAAAGGGCTGAGGAGAGAGAAATTGAACGGAGAGATGTAAAAGACAGAGTAAAAGGGCAGAGCGAGGGACCAAAAGCTCGATTTCGGACTTCATGGGGTTGTGTTTTACATGGGTAGATTAGTAATTATAATAATGCTATTTTAATAAGAAAAATTTATTTCCAAATTGGCATCTAGAAGATTTTTGGGAAAATCCCAATAAAATTTTGTTGAAATACCTAAATCTAAATTAAGACCTACACTTTTAATAATCCTTAATTAGAAATGAGTCCTCATTTAGGATTTCTTAATATTGTTAAATGACCATAATGCCTCTCTGTAGTTGAAATGAAAAAATTGATTATTTTACTCTTCTAAGTGTTCTCTCACCTCTTATGATTATTTTTAAGACCAAAACACATGCAAATTTTATAGTATTCAAAATTTGTACATATGTAACTAAAATCTTCAAAAATATTTTAATAAAAATTTTAAATTTCAACATAAATAGCCTTAAAATAAATATTTTTTATTTCATGTTTGTAAACATTTATTTTAAGATCTTAACATATTTTAATTACAAAAAATTTAACATCATGTTCTTATAATTTGTGTTAGCTTTATTTATTTAAGCAAACATTGGATCTGAACCGAAAAATTTAATTTGCAGCAAATTAATATAAAATATTCCTTGTAATTAAAATATTTTAAAATCTTAAAAATAAATATTTAACAGCTTAAATAGACAAAATATTTATTTAAAGGGTACTTATATTGTAATTTAAAATGTTTGATTAAAATATTTTTAAAGGTTTTAGTTATATATACAATTTTAAAGAGTATAAAATTATTTTTTATCTAAAAAAATAATCATAAGAGAAAAGAGGAACAATTTGGGAGGAGTAAAACAAACATTTTTTTTAATTAAAGAAGAGCATTCTGATCATTTAGCAACATTAAAAAAATTTTAATGAGACCTAATGACCTGATTAGAAATTTGTTCAAAGTGTAAGGTTAAATTTGAATTTAGATATTTTAATTAAATTTAATTGGGATTCTCTCAAGATTTTTTAACAAAATTAATTAGTAAAGATTAAACTATTTCATACCTACATATCCAATCACAGAAGAATCACAAGTAAAGAATTTGAGAGAAAAACGCGCGGGATTGGATACTCCGACTACGAAGCTTCTCAGTCAGCACAGTCAAACCTAACTACCCTTCGCGGAGTTGGACATACCTTCTTCTCCATGCTAGCTTCCCTCCAACAAGACTTTTTATAAATCGAATATCAAATATCTCATTATTCGTATGCTACTTCCGGTCTTAAATATATAAAGTCTATTTTGTAGTTAAATTTGTACTACAAACTATATTTTAATTGCGTTACAAACTATATCTTATGTTTAAGAAGTAATATTATATTCTTCCGGTCCTAAATATAAGACCTTTATATATACTAGTATAAGGGTCTTATATTTAGGACCGGAGAAATAGTTTCAACTTCTTCTGTTGATTCCAATATCGGGGGTTTTAGTCCCTTCAAATCATGATATATATGACCCCACGCTTACAGCTTCTAAAGTCAGATTTATGCCTTCAAATCATGACGATTTCGTGAGATGCCATGTACAATTCCAACGCAGCTTACTAGCTATTTCCTCTACTTTGCACAACTTTGGATTGATTTTTTTCCTTTTAATTAACCTTCTTTCATCTTTAACTAAAAATTAATATATATGCACAAAACGAGCTCAACTAATCATAAATCAATGTCAATCATCGATATATTGTTCTCTTAGTTAATCACTTAAGGCATCAAAGAACCCTTTTTGTGGGTAATATTTGATAAATCCAATGAAATATTTATAACTAATCTTTAAATTAAAGGGAAAAAATATTCATATCACTGTTGGTCCTCATAATTTCATTCAATTTTGGTTTGAGTTATTGTAGTTTCAAATATAATCATAGTTTTTAATCCCTATAGGTTTTTTTCGCAGTCCAAAAAAATCCCTATATTTTTTTCAGTCCAGAACATTGTTACCTATAGTTTCAGAATGATTTTGATTTGAGTTTAACGGAGTAATTTCATTAGCAGCATTAATATAGATACCAAAACCAAAACTCGTTAAAAGTATAAGAATAAGAACCAAAACCTGTCGGGACTGAAATCAAAATTCGCTAAAAATATATATAGGGACCAACATCAAAACTCATAAAAAAAAAATATCATAACCAAAATTCATTAAAAACATAAATAGAAAAGGCAATTTAAATGCTTGATAGATGACAATGAAATCAATTTTGACTGAAAAAATCGACTAAGTGGAGAAATAAATTTTTTTTATATAAAATCTTATTCCCAACATTTTAATTCATGTCAGATTTTCTTACTTTTAATTTCGATTTCATCATTGTGAAATTTTCCGATAAAATTCGTCAATTTGAGATGATATAATCAGTTACAGCAGGTGCAACTCTTTAACTATTTGCAACATATACAAATAACTTCTATATTAAATTTTTTTGCACATAGTTTAAGACATGTTGTATACATGTGCCATTAAAGAATAATTATAGTTGTTGAGAATTATTGAACCAGGTTGGGGCCTATTCCCCAATTTTTCTCTAAAATTTGGGGGAAATTCGGGGGTTTTTTTTATTCATACTTTTAAGACTTAACAAAATTTAATTTTGGTTCATTTAAGTTTTGATCCCTATACAAGACAACATTAATTTCATTAAACTCACATGTAAGGTTGTCAAACTCGTGATAATGATATAAACTCGTATCGTAAACTCAAATCATGAACTTGTAAGAGTTTACTTTTATGAATAAACTAGTATTAAAAGCATATAATTAAATAATTAATATATATAAAAATGAGAACAATTTTATTTAAATAATTGAAATTATATCCATCAATGTTCATAATTTATCACATTCAACAAAGCAATTTCTATAAAATTCATATATAAAGTCACTAAAAAAGATAATCAAATCCAAAAATTTAGCACGAGTTTAAGAGTGAGTTGACACGATTTTATAAACTAAAAACATAAAAATGATAAACTTGGTAAATGAACTCGTAAGTTTAACTGAGTTTACAGTTATCACAAGTTTAAGAGCAATCGATACAATTTTGTTAGCTGAAAATATAAAAAATATTAGACTCGGAGAATCAACTCGTGAGTTTGATAACAACGCTCACATGTGGGTCCTTATAAATTTATGGGGACTAATGTTTTAAAAAGGAAAAACTATAGAGACAAGAAAACTTGATTTAAAACTAATGGTTTACTTGGTATGAAGAAAAATTTTAATAAATTAGATTTAAAAAAATTAAAAAAATTAAGATTAAAAGCTTTTAATTAGTTTTATTATTCTTTTATCTTACATCTTCTTTTATTTAAAATTTTAAAATTCTACGCTTCTAGTTTTTTAAATCAGGTCATTAAAATTTTTTTCCTTCTCATTTTCCCTCCATTTTCTTGATATCAAACATAAGGCAAAGGAATCAAAACAAAATTTCAGTCGAGGTGTAAGATGTAACAATGGCATCAACCTCGGAAAAAATAAAGTAAGATGGGACGCGGATATAGGGAATAACTTCATGGGCCACTATATATTTAATTACTGCACTGTTCTTAAACGTGGGAAAAGGGAAAAAGAAGAGGGGCGGGTGAGGCTGCAGGGAATGTGGGGCAATGATAATAACAGAAATAAAATTTAGCCAAAAAACGTGAAATTAGTTTTGAAAACTTAAATACGAAGTTGAAAGATTAGTTATAAATGGCAAAACAATTTGTAAATTTTAAAGGTTTCAGTTGAAAGCTTTCTGGTTGATCACCAGTCATGCCGCTTGGCTCTCTGAGAAAGGATGCGTGTTTATTGTTTGAGAGATATTTAGATATGCCAGAAATACTTTTTAAAAGTATTTTTTTAGATAAATTGAGATAAATTTATTCACAAATTTATACTTATTTTATTTTGCATGGAGATGAGAGAGAGGGTTTGCAGACAAAGATTCTGCACATTTTCCAATACGAAAAGCATATATTCACAAATAAAGAGATAGAATATGTATATTAAATTATTAATTACTTCTGCTTAGATTTCGGCAACAAAATAATTTTTAAAAAAAGTAGTACTGTTTGAAGAAAATTCTAGAAAAGTTTCCGACACAGATCGACGCTGAATTTAGGATTCATAGTGTTTCCAAATTCTTCGTGTCTTTGAATAAAAAAATTAATAGTTATAAGAACAACGTCTTAGTTTGTGTAAATAGCACGACTTTGCACCACTTGTCACCTAAATAAGGTTCCAGTGACGAGTCTGGCACGCAACATTG